AGTTAGAATCTCTTTTAAGGGACTCTTTTCGTCTCTTTTTGGTCTCTCAGTTTCTCGGAGTTCTCTCTCGCGCGCTTTCTTTTGGGGCCTCTTCCTTGTCCAGGATTGCAGTGTCAGGATTATCTGTTTTGGGATTGCTTTCTGGGATGGGATGGGCATTTGTTACCAGCTGGTGAGCAATTACACTGTGCATCACTTGTTCATATGTATTATTATCATTAAACATATATTAATTTATTATTAGTATTATTGTTGTTGTTATTGTTGTTATTATTATTATTATTAAACTGTTCTTATCTCAACCCACAAGTCTACTTCCCTTTTCGCCTTTAATTCTCTTCCCTCTTCCCCCAGAGTAGGGTAGGGTGAGCAAGCGGCTGTGTGACGTTTAGTGTTTGATGGGTTAAACCACAACACCCAGTAGCGGGGACTGCAATATAATGATAGAAATCTATTGGAAGAGTTTCAGAATTAGATGAGACTGCAAATGTTTTTTGAGGGTTGCATCAACTGCAAAACAAGAGGAGTCTAGAACGTCATTAAAATACATTTCTAAACACTGAGACAGGAGACTATATTGGCTAAAGCCTGGCATTTGGAATTTTTAAGGGGATAATTGTAATTATAAGGGTTTTTCTCTGCTTAATTAAAGGCACTCCTCTGCAGAAATAAGAAAGCAATTTACTCTCCAACCAGGCTTTGCGCAGTTCTGTCAACGAAGCTTAAGTACCTCTGGCTTTTCTACTCTTCATCTGGTAAGTTATGGGTTTATCTTCTTTACACAGGTTTGGCATCTACATTGCTTAATGTTTTTAGACTAAATTAAGTGATCTTCTTAAGTTGTCTTGTTTTCCACTGGCTTCTGCCTGAAACTGTTAAAAAAATGCTCGCTGGTGAGCTGGAGAAATCATACGTTTGGAAAAAAAGAGAATGGTCCTTGGAGGCTGAAATAGACAGTCTTTCTGCGTACTACTATAAATCAAAGTTAACTAGTAAGTGTTGGAGTATACTACATCCTTTCCTTGCTGGAAACATTCAACTCCACCAAGTAAATGCATTGTGTGATGATCACAGATGATTTGCAGAAGGAGGCCAGTGAATAAAGAGGAAAAAAGAAAGGTAGAGGCTCAACTATCTTGGTTTAATACACAGTTTCCAGAGCTAGCAGCAGAGACAGTGCACTCACCTGTTTTTCAGTGCTGTAGAGTAAGTATGTTAAGTGAGAAATGCCGAAGTGTGCCCTGATTGGCATAGATATAACTGAGTCAACTGTTACATGTCTCCAAATCATCTTCAGCCTTCCATGTGTAATCCTCTTCTACAGAAGCCAGACCACGTGACGTCGCCCTTATGACAAAGGGAAAAAATGCCAAATCTTTTTAATTGCCGTTCAGAAGGATAGGTATTCTGCAAATATACTGTGCCACAAATTAAAACTGGCTAAGATTTTGACGCTCTCCTTCTTCCTACCTGTGTAATTTTTCCTTATTTTTGTGAGACCTGATAAGTAGAAGCAGGAAAGGTCTTTGTGCACCAGCGATCATGAAAAATGTAAAACACTCGATGAAAGCAGTTACTTCCTGTGTGTCAGGGTCTGCCACCACTACTCACTTCCTTTTTCTGAAATGCTGTGGTGTTTTGACTTGTTCCTTGCGGTTATGCAGCCCGGGGAGGCTAGGTCCCTTCTTCTACATGCAGACAACTGCTTTTGCTCTTGAGAAACTTGATAACATTTCATTTACCGACTATTACGCCGTAGCTGCCATTTTGTGTGCTGTCACAATCTACATGCCTCTAATCCACCGTCCTTAAAAAGGTATGTTTGCAGTAATAATTTGTGGCATTTTCTGTAGCGTAATTGTTTTGCACACTTGTATGATGTGTGAAAGGAGTGTTGGCTTCTCCATTGAAACAGTGTCTATCATTCCTTTGATAATTTGCACCAATCGTTAGGGAGACCATTACCCTCCATCTGCATTTACCTTTTCACCATCTTTTTTACATTTGTGTCCAATTTACGATAGTCAAAAACACACATTTCTAGTGATTAAAGATTATTATTAATACTTCAGCTAGGAAAAATTAGAACAGATAATGAAATGCGATGGATTTGACTTCTCAGAATGCAAAAAGTGTGATTTCTGAAAGGAAGTGTAATGATTAATCAAAAATTAGCTTGTATTAAGCAAAAATATTTTGCGTGCAAAACATTACGTTTTCAGCAACTGAAAAGATGTAATATGCTTTTGTATACTTTAAGCTTTGTTTTGCTTTAGTCTTTTGTGATTTTTTTTTTTTAGAAGATCTTTGTGTATATATATGTATACTAACATATAATGTTTTACCCACTGGCAGTACAATAAGCAAACTTCAAGGATATTATGCTGACAAGTAATAAAAAATCAATAGCTAATAAAGATCACTTTTTACTCATAACCTTCGATCCAGTATGCTCAGCACTACACTAGGTAAAAACTTGAGACAGTGCTTAACCTAAAAATTTATTAACAATGCAATGTATTTCTTCAGCTGGCTGGCTCATGATTTGCTGGGCTTACTGTCAGTTTTAGGTTTTCCCTTTGGATAAAAGAGCAAAGAAAGAGAGAGATTTTTCCCAAGGTGTTTTCAGAGCATTCAACCGATCTCTTAAATGTATAGACACAGGGTTGAGCTCAGAGACTTTGTCTATGCTGAGACCAATATATTTTCCCCATAAAAGGGGAACCTGAAGCGGGGGGGGAGGGTGGGGGGTGGTGTGTTCAAAGGTTTCTACTACATCATTCGCAGAAGTATTTACAACACTAAAATTTTTCAAAAGTTTAAATTGGTTTGCTACTCCTGGATGTTTTAAGCACATATCTTTTAAATACGCTTCACTTTCTGCAAGATGTTTCTGGATTTTTATTAGCTGAATAACTTCCTCACTTACACTTCCAGAACACTAAAAAAGCTCTAAAACTCATATTTACCACTAATCAGCTTTAACTCATCTTTCTATCTACAGTGGCTGACGTGGCATATTATGCGTGAGCCATTTTGGTTCAGACTTACCCAGAGCTTTGCCACTGTTGAGCACCTTTACATGTTTCATAAATTGTGGAATTCTTCATTGTCCTATTGAGCTAAAATTCCTAATGTTGTGGGTGTAACATTGTTATGTGCAGAGGTCACTTCATGCTCAGGCAAAAATTCCATCAACTTCCATGAGACCCTTGCACGAGTAGGACTCAGTAATAATGAGTGAAGACTTCATTATTTCGGCCCACAGATTTTACTTGTAGAGGACGCTGGAGTATAAGGAGGATAGTTCCAGAATGCATGTTGGATGAGACAGTAGCCACAGGAACATTGAATATAAAGGCAGTATTGATATCAGGGACATTGAGTGCCTTATTTTCCCCACACCCTGTCAACAGTACCATAGAGGTAGATTATTTGATCGACATATAAAATATTTATTGCTGGCAGCTTCAGAAGGCAGTCTTGTGAAAAGTTTGGGTTAATCAGTGCAGTGCGATCCTTGCTCTTTAGAGACAAGGATGATTTCATAGCTATTTTTCTCTAGAATTCTTCCTAGTAAATATGTTATTCCAGTGCGATTATTCTAATGCTCTTAACTATTTCTCTGTGCTCTTACTGCACTGAGGTGTCCTCGGCCTTTCTGGAATTCACAGAACAGAAATGATAGGTTTTCTAAAGCTGTAGCTTTTAGATATATTTGTTACTTGTCAACAAAATTAACAATATGAGATGCTGGTCTCTGTACTCAACCGTGAAAATGTTTTATTTTCTGAACATGTATGGGCGATTTTTCTTGGCTACATAGCAAGTAAAATAATTTTCAGTTTTATCTATACATAGAATAACATATACTTTTGACATATGAAGTCACATTTATGTGTATGTGGAACATTTCTAGGTACCATATCAAACAAGACCTTCTGCCTCTGTTTTTGAAACTAAGCAGATGAAGAGAGCTGGACAGCTTCATAGCATGTATGAGTGGCAGACTGTGTACTTGTTTAGTTTGGTTCTGATCGGGCATTCTGTGTAAGAATGACTGATTAAATGTAATCAGATACAACTGCTCTCTATAAAGGTGCAGTGGCATGTGCTGTAGTTCCATGTAATCTTTTGTGTAGTTACTGTACTAGCCCTTGAAATATCCAATAAAATTAAAACTACAATAATGTGAAAAACCAGTAACGTTCAGAGGTGGAAAATAATAATTTATTCCGCTTTTGAGTGTATCTTGCCCTCAACTTTGTTTGGAGCCAAAAGCATACAGCATTTCTAATAGTATCTTTCAGGCACCTCACATGTGTGGCATATTCATAGTGGCAGCCATGGTGCTTAGAGCTGGTCCTTAGTTCAGTATAACTTCCAAGACTTATTGCCTCGGCCTTGTTTTAGCTACTGCCTTTCATCACATGTGCTGTAGAGTCCATTGGCACCTCCCTGCCAGCTAGCACTGCCTGTGACTATCATTTTGATCACCTGCTGTTGTCCTCTGTTGTTCCTACTGCCTTTTTCATAACTCTGATTAATGCCATGGATTGAACAAGGGGGACTGAGTGCGCTTCATGGGAATCCAGGAGAACACATCTGGGGGCATCCAGGATGTACCTCAGACAGCCCTCCTTATACCAGCATCTAGGAAAGCTCAACAGGAAAAGTAGGTGCAAATTGGGATGTAGGTGTAGTATCTTCCATTTCTTCTTTGTGTTTTAAATCTTTTCTCTCTTTGTTCCCTTTCTTTTATTGACTGAACATTGCATTAGCAACTTTTCGCTGCATTAAATGCAGTGGTGCTGTATGTAAGGTTAGAAGTCTGTTTCCGATGTTTAATAAATAATGGGACAATGACAAGAATTAAATAAATGAGCCTAAACTGCACTACTAAGCAAAATTTTCTGTTGCTAAAATAAACACCTCTTTATTTCTTCCATTAGCCTTCCTTTTATGACGCAGTAGACCCAGTAGATTTTGAAGGCTTCCTAATGACACGGCTGAACAACTTGGACTCAGAGCTAGCACAAGAACTTGGTGATTTTCCTGAAGATGACTTGGACATTGTCTTTACACCCAAAGAGTGCAGAACTTTGCAACCCTCTATGCCAGAAGATGGGTAAGGAGACTTTCTCTATCTTAAATGCTGCAGTTAAAAATAGTTCTAAAGGTGCTGATCGAGACACCTCACTCTGTCATCCATCCAGTCATTATGCACTTGCTGAACTTAAAACATTTGAAATTTGCCATTGATTCTGTTAGGCCTGTTAGCACGTTAGAATTATACAAGTGGTTACGCGACTTCCTGAGCTAGCTGGTAGCAGCAAAAGTCAGGTAGGCGTAGGCCAGGAAGAAGAGTGAAGAAAGGAAGGAGGGTAGTATGGAAAATAATTTTGTAGCTGTGATCTCAAAGGTGGAAGTTGACTCTGATCATGCAGTAAGCATAGGATTGATGTTTTTTCTTTTTTTTCTTTTTGTTTTGCCAGCTATGTGTTACATGGCATTGATTAGATCACTAAATATCTCTTTCTCAGTACCTTTCTTGCTTAAATACAGGGAAATAGTTCATATTTCACAAGATTTGGGGGAAAAAAAGTGTTAATTTCTAGTGTAGGAGTCACTTTTGGTTTCAGGCTGGCATTAAAAAAATAATTCCACTGTTTTCAGCAGCTTTTAAATTAAAATAGGTAGCATGTGTTGATACTGGTGCTCGGCCATGTGGAAATATTTAAGCTGGTTTAATAAAGAGGCAAACTATGGGTAACAATTTTTCAGAATGAGAAAAAGGGATGCGTTGGAGAGTTTTCTGAGGTGGTTTAGGAGAGCCTTATGCATTGTATACAAAATACTCTTCAAGGATTTTTTCGCTGTAAATGATACCTTCAAGTAGAACCACAAGGCCTGTTGAGTTTTGCAAGCAGTAACAGCCGGATAAACATGAAGTCAGCACCAGTTTACCCCCAAACTGCTATGTCTACAGAGATCGCTAACCGTGCAGCGTGGTTGGGATGGGGGGCTGTTTCCTTCCAGTATGTTCAGGAAATGAACAGCACAGTCTATATTCTCTAGTGTGCTGAGCCTGAATGCTGAAAAGACAAATAGGCTTAGCTTACGGTGTCCTGGCTCACAGGGTAGACCTATATCCCCCTCTGTTCCTGCGAAATTTGTTGCAGCCTGCTCTAATTTATACCATCCAGCTGTATAAATTAGAACCCTACACAACAGTGGTATTTTTTCAGTGTTTTCTGCCCAACATACAAAATGCAGTCAGCCTAAGCAGGAACCACAGCATATATGATTTTTGCCAGCTGTGGACTAGCTGAGAACCTTTCTCTCTAAGCAAGGTCTCAGCCTGCAAGTTCCTTCTTGGTTAAATGCATCTCTCAGAAAGTTCAAGAGAGCAAAGATAGTAGAGACAGGGTGCTGTGCTAGGACACCTGAGAACTCTTTGAATCATACAGCTCCTAGGGACTTTTGTAACATTCACACAAAAGGTGATTTTCACTTGAAGTTATTCATAGAAAATGTTCCAATCTTTATCATGAATTCTTGATTTCCTGTGGATTAGGGAGAGAGAACGGATGTAGGAGACAATGAATATTTTGGTGCTTGAAGTTCCCATGTATTTAAATGATGGACAAAACAAGTAAAAAATTACCCGACTTTGAAATGCAGTGTAAAAGATAAGATTGCAATTTCTCTCCTATTTCGAAGGTTACTTCCCGGCATGCCTGCTGCTTAAAACAGCAGTTATCTATTTGTTTTTCCCGTAGAAGAATGTATAGACTCATGCTGTATAATCAGTCTTAGGCCTGATTTGCACCACAGTGACATTAAGGGTTTTGTAAGGAGTCTGTGACAAAGCTCGAATAGTTAATACCAGCAAAGATTTTTTTTTTTTTCACACAGCGGCTTCTCATTTAGCCTTTCACACCACCATTATTGATATTAGTGCTTTCACAGAAAATTCTGGTTAAGGATGCCAAGGCAAGTTAAGGAAGATGAGAGCACAGGAGGGGCACACACCAAAGGTTTGCCTGCAGGCGATGCAGTCTGGAGTGTCTTCCTGCACCGAGAGCAGGAAACAGATACTACCACCGACCAAACTGGGTTAACGTGCCACCTGCTTGCAAACGCAGGTCCCGACTGAACTGCACGCAGGAAGTGACCACGTGCTGTGCCAGTCCACCGGTGGCAGGGGCGCACAGCAGCCTGCCATCAGCCAAGCTGGTGCACGTGTGAACCCAAACCAGTTGTTACTCAGTCTTGGTAGTCAGTGGCAAATCTTTAAGAGTCTAGGTGGAAAGTGCTAAAAAGTGTCATACTTTTCACCCATTCCTGCGTTGCATGTGTATCCTCCTCTTGTACTTGCTTGGATGGGGGAATATAACAAGTGATTTTGGCACAGGTCACTGAAATTTTTTAGAATCGGGGTAGAGGAATTATGCTACAACACCATGACAGCAAGTTCAGGGACATCGACTTTAGCTTATAATATTTTCATTCTAATCTGTATCCAGTTTATCAGGCAGCTCTGATAACCCTCTACATTAAATGTGACTTCTTTGAAAATCATAAAATTAAATTATATTATTAGATCTCGAAGTTTTATTATGCTGTCTGATTAAAAGCTTAGGGTCCGTTTTTAGAATTTTCTTCATTTCTATGAGGAAGAGAAAATTGCGTGAAAAACATACGAGAGACTGTGTATTTGCAAAAGTTCAGGAGCTGAGGCTCTGGAAAAATGTTACTACACGTTGACACTTGTTATCAAGTTTTGAAAATCACGAAAGTGGGTACCCGGTGTAATTTCTTCTATTTTACGTTATTTTATAGCAATATGGGTCTTATATTCATGGAATGCATAGTGTGGCAAATGGTTACCTCTGTTAAATGTAATGTTAGTTTATAAACACAGTAACAAGAACCTGAATCAGGAAATTCAGCACACAGAATTCTCTAAAATTCAAACAATAGTTTAGCAGTGAAATAAATATACAGGAGAGGATTAATAGAGAGGCCTTTATCTAACAAGCATGTTTAGATAAATTTCTTTGTTCTTAAGGTCTGACCTAAGTAGTAAAATATTTGCAATGTGTTGCTTTTTCCCCAGGGTTGAACTGGACTCACATGTCAGAGATTGTGTTCAGACGTATATCCGGGAGTGGCTGATTGTGAATCGAAAGTAAGCTACGTATAAGTAAATCGAATAGAAAGTACCTTGCATCTTATTTGTCAGAGAGGGGATGCATGCTGATATAAGTAATCCTAAAAAATGATAATTTGAATCAGTAAATGAAGACAAGAACTGACTTTTCGGTAGTATATGTAACTATATAGTTTTGTTTGAGTCGGTGGAGTATAGCTAAATATTGTTGCATCCGCTTCTTAACTATCAGGTGCTCTGGGATTTAATTGGGAAGAAATTCATATCCACTGTCTGTAATGATGATTTATCTAAATCAGGAATACTGCTACTATTTGATCACACTGAAAGGAAAGATAATAGGGATAAAGATTACATTTGTATGCTCTTCATTTTCCCCTCCATGCCCTGGAAATTCAACGTAATCTGACTTCTAATGGTTTCTGAAAACAAAAGAGAGTGCTAGTAGCAAAAAAACTGAGGATTATAGGCTTTCCCAGCAGTGATTGATTTTAGTCATGGGATTATTAGTGTAACATCTAACTTTACTATTTTATATCAGTAAGTGATTTCTGCATTTGAGGCCAGTGTAATTCACACACAGAATTGGACATGTAGTCGTTACAAGTGACTTAATTTCCTTATTATATTTTATTTTATTTTATTTTACATCATTTTATCTCAATCTAATTTGATTTAATCTAATCATTTCATTTCATTCCATTTCACGTATTTAATGTAAAGAAACTCTCAGTCAGTGCTTTCTATGTGAGGGTGTCTGTCCCCAGCCTCTCAGGGCTGCGCTGTGCCAGTGGAACTCGCCTCCTTCCTCATCACCCGCTCCTGTTCTTCAGAAAGAGTTTTTGGAGCTCTGTTTTTCTGCACCACTTCCTGTTCATCCCCTCCTGCACTCATGCCCGGTTCTTGAGAAGCTGTAGTAGCAGCTGACGGTAGAGTGCTAGCACATTCACTCTCATTTCATTGTGCCCCTTCGACTGCTCTTGTGCTCTCTGTTCTTCTGACCTGAAGTGCATCAGCAGTCAGTGTGTTAAGGGATGACTCCCAGTGATTGTAAAGGAATTGCATTGTTTAATTGTGCAGCTTGTGCAGGGATGGAACAGCTGCTGACGGTTATTAAGAGACTTCCTCTGGGGCTGCTGATGAAATTGATTGAGTTCTTGAGTTCTCAGAACTGTTCCGCAGTGAGTCACTGAAAATAAGCTGGCGGGTTGTGCAGGCTCTCCACCTGCACTGCTCAGAGCATGGGTGCTAGGTCTTTCACACAGCGTGGTTCTGAGTGCACTGTAAAAAGCCAAAGTGCAGCTTTGTCTGTGCGCATGAGTAGGGAGCGAGCAGTAAAGTAGGTGAGGTGAAAAGTAGAACATAGCTATTTTTGCACCTACCTGTACTTGTAGAAATGTGAATGGAGCCATAGAAATACACATGTGAAAAGATTTGTTGTGTGGTTTACTATTTCATTCATTCAGGTAAGGCAAATTTGCATTCAAAAACTTTATTGAGCAGTTGAGTCTGAGGTAAACACGATGAAAGGCCCTGCCAGAGACCTGAGCTTTGATGGCTGTAGCTAACAAAGCAAGCAAGTTCTTAAAAACGGCAAAGAACAAGACAGTGTAAAAGATGCTGCAGTGTCACATAAGCCAGTGATAGATTGTTATTGGGAGTCTCATGGTATGCTTGGACACTCTTCTCAAAACAGATATGGGAGGAAGAAAAGACATCAAGAGACAAATGAGATAAAGTAACTGTAGAAAACTTTCCGTTGTTTTGAGAAAGACTGAAAAAACTGCAGTTACCTGCTTGGGAGACAGATTCATAGGACAGGTTGCTGAATGTATGATCTGGTGAGCTAAGGATCAGAGGAGTGTGTAAGTGACTTTCATCCATTCATGGATGTGAAGGTTCAGAACAGGAGATTGAAGCATCTTCAGTGGGTGGCATGAGCAGAGGTGGTCCTTGTGCCTCAGGGTAGAGAGGTGTGTGACAAAGGGGGTGGACACAGCTGAGGGGTCCATGTATTCTCAACAGAGGCTAAATGGGACGCTTGTTCCCTTGCTCGTCAGTTTCTCCTTTCATTTCTCCTTTGTTCCTTTTCCTCATCTCATTTTCTTAATTCAGTGTGTGGCCATTAAATTCACATATGCGCTAAAAGCAGGGTTTACCTCTTGGTGAGGTTTGATTGCTATTGTGCTTTTCAAAATAAATGCACAACATAAAAAAATAAAGGAATACTTTAGGAGAAAGGCATCTCCAGCATAGATTGTACATCACGAGGGGTAAAGACGCAGGGAAAGTGTATTCACAGGTACATAAATCTCTCCATTAATCATTTCGTTGCCACCAGAAGTAGTGAAAAAATAATCAACAAAACCTCTTTTGGATGCTGAAATGTCTTAAAGTAAACTCATACAGAATTTCTGTCTTTCATTCTGGATGATTAAGACAGTTTCAAAACAAGGTCACATCCAAGGAGAGCTGGGATTGTCTCTTTTATGACTTCAGTCTCCATTTGCAGTGAACTGGTAAACGACTGAAATGCAAACAATTAAAATTAAAACACATCAGAGCATATAATTCAGTTACTCCCAAAATGTAATAAAAAGGTGTCTCCCTGATCAATAATTGCTTATCATGGCATCTTTATGAAAGTACTCAGATGTTTAGACATGGCTTTGGGAGTGTTACAGAAAGGAAAATGAACAAAGCAGGATACTGTAACTGAGGAGACCAACTGCAAAAAGACCATCCTAGGATTTAACAAACTGCATACTAACATGAAAGAAATAGAGCTCTGGATGCATCTAGTATCTTTTTTCAGGGTACCTGCTGTTTTTTTCCACCTACTACAAAAATTTAACTCAAAACTGGTACCTTGCTTCAAAATTTTGGAAACTCACCAGCAGAGAGCATTTCATTGTGCTCTAGCAACAGCCCTCTTCAAAAACAGGCACTGTTTGAAAGGTGTAGATTGTTGTCTGTGATTAACCTGGGATACCAGCTAGGTCCAGGACAAGAGCAGTAAGCTCCTTGATGTGTAATTGCAGGAGCAAAGAGCCAGCCAAGAGCTAAGTGATCTAGATCCATGTTCTTAAAGTCACTGAAATAATCAGTATGTCTGCTGAGGATCTCAGAGCTGATTTGTGCCCAGGTCAGGTTTTACTGCTGTGTCAGGCTCACAGTCTATGCAGAAGTGATCTAAATGAATGCTCTTCCTTTAAAAACCATTCTTAATATACGTGATAGAGTTGCAGTGATGTGATAAAGCAATTAAACGTGAAATGTCACATTTTTGTATAAAAGCTGTGCTGCGCGGGTTTTGTGCACACTAATGTTTCCAGTTGCTTAATATTTTTTGAAATTTGTCTTTTCTGTTTTGTTTTCTCTGAAATCCTCCTCCCACTGCTCTGGCTTGCTCGGGCTTCTCTGTGAAAGGAACCAAGGGAATTCAGATACTTGTAGCCTGAAAAACAAGGGGTCCCGAAAAGATTTTCACAAGACCCTTCAAAAACAAACATTTGAGTCGGAAACAGTGGATTCCAGCGATGCAAACTTTCAGGTACGTTTTCTTCGCTTTGGGAAAAGCAGTCAAATACAGCAGCTTTCCTCAAAGGAGGCATCCTAGAATCTCTGGAATGGCGTCAAGTGGAGAGCTGTGTTTGCCATTGGGCCTCATGTCAGAGGCGGTGTGAGGGCCCTCTCTGCCGGACAAGCAGGAAGACATTCCATGGCGCCCCGGTCTCCAGAGCACAGCTCACCGTTTTGTTGTTTTCCGACAGGTGGGACCCCGGCAAGTCCATGTGCTGCCCGAGGGAGGCATCCTAGAATCTCTGGAATGGCGTCAAGTGGAGAGCTGTGTTTGCCATTGGGCCTCATGTCAGAGGCGGTGTGAGGGCCCTCTCTGCCGGACAAGCAGGAAGACATTCCATGGCGCCCCGGTCTCCAGAGCACAGCTCACCGTTTTGTTGTTTTCCGACAGGTGGGACCCCGGCAAGTCCATGTGCTGCCCGAGGAGGCTTCG